CGCAAGCTATAGTGAAAACCTCTCCAAAAAAAAAAAAAAAAGAAAAAGAAAATCAAGTTGTAAAAATCAGATCTACGGGGCAAAAAAAGGAATAAGTGATATAGTATGTAATTTCAAAATGAAAAACAAAGCTCTGAAAAGTATAGAATTATTATTATACACAGCCCAATGAGCATTAATACAAACTGCTTTCAAGGCATACATAGTATCTTAGATACTAGATTTTCAAACAAAAGCAAATTTAACTTCATATATTTCCCATCTTGTGGAATAAAATTCAAAAGTGAACAAAATATACTTACTGTAGTAGATTAAAATCAGTTGGTATTTCTGGAGCTGCTATCATTTCTTTATCATCTTCTGGAACACCCCCATGTCAGAAATATATTCATATATTTACGTGGGTAAAATGATGGTTAGCTTCTTTCTTCTATGACAGGCAATTCCTTTAAAAAATGAACAAATGATATATTTATTATGAACACTTCAAAAATACTGGGAAGAAATACCCATACTTAAAAGCCAAATTCCCCAGTGCCTGCTGATATATTTTAGTAAATAAAGATTGTATTCACAGAGCCAGCTCCATGATGTGGCAGTTAAGACAGCCAATCCCACATGGCTAACCACACGGTAAATCCTAGGTCCAGGCGTGTGTGCATGCCAAAAAAAAAATCCCAAAAGGAAGGAGATAGAGAAGGGATTGCAGCATGATCATTTCCCCATGAGGAGTGCTTTCTTCTCTCCCCTTGTCCCTTTCTCTCTCTGGCAAATACACAGGCCCTCTAGCAAAAAAAAAAAAAAAAAAAAAAAAAAAAAAAAGTTTCCTCACTTTTAGTTTCTTTTTCTAGATATGGACATTACAATTCTTACAGCCCTACAGTTAACACCAAATTAAGGGAGTGGAAGAAAAGCTTATGTCATAGACAACCTTTCTATTTCTTATGATTCTATAGCCTAGTTTTATGTCTATATATTAATATACACCCTAAAAAAGAAGAGAATAGGAAGAGGTTGCTGACTCTGTAATTGGTCCCAAAATCCCTAATATGGTTTAAACCATAATAAGAGATGCTTGAAAATTTATAGCTTTTTTGCTGATGGTACGCAGGTATGGTTAAAAGGACCTAATAAAAGCTTACAATGTTATTTTAAGATACCTTAAAAAGAGATTCTTCCTACATTGTAGGAAACACAGTACAGAGTTTGGCTTATTAATAATCACTTCATAATACCACCACATTGTATTGAAAAAGGAAGAAAATATTAGACACACTGCCCCCTCTTCAAGGAACTTAAAACAATCAATTTAAACACCAATAATATCACATAGAGAACAGATAAACGTCATTTATAACAAAACTAAGTGCAAGACTGACCACAGAAAGGATATTATCGTTCCTAGTCTTGAAGGTTGAAAATAAATTTCCTGGGGTCAGCAGATCATTTAGCGGTTATGTCGCTGGAATCCCACATGGCCAACCGCGGTTCAAGTCCTGGACCCAATGGATTGAAACACAAGCCGGGCGCGTTTGCATGCAGGAGTGCCCAAAATCCCAAGATAATGGAGAAGGGATAGCAGTGTGACCGTCACCCTGAAGACTGATATCTCACTTTCCTTCTCATTGCCTCTATCTCGTTCTCACTCTTTGGCAAGCACACACACCCTAAGGCAAAAACTTCTAAAAGAAGAAAAGAACATTTTTTTTTCTTTTCTTTTTTTTAAGTTTATTTATTTCTTCTGAAGGAGACAGACAAGAGGGTCTTCACACCACAACCCAATCCCAGTCTCAATTGGCCCAGATCACAGTAATGTTTGCCATGCATGTTCAGGAAGGGCCCAATAAAAAAACCGAGGACCCTTTACACATGGATAAAGTTGTGTCACCACTGCACCACCACCTGGCTCTAAAAATACATTTCTTAAATGATGAAATGATCTCGAAGCAAATGACCAATCTATACAAAATGATAAAGACTGGCCGAAGCTTAAGTATGAAGTTCTTAGTGTTACATGTATCCTTCTGTTTTAATTGTCTTTTTTAAGTTTTTCTTTTATTCCCAAGTGAATCTATTCAGTGAACACCTAAAGACGGAGCAAGTAAGACTAAACATATCAATTAATAATAGATGCTCAGAGGCTGGCAGGAGGCATGGCGGTTAAGGTGCTGGGGCCAACTGTAGCTCAAGTCCTAGACCTGACAGCTTGCTTTCTCACTTTCCCTTTCTCTCTGTCTCTCTGATCAAATTAAAAAATAATAATGATCAAATAAAATAGGAAAAGCATTCACAGAAAACATAATAATGATAACATAAAATAATTCTTTTTTAAAAATTAATAATAGGGGAACCAGCAGTTAGTGTAATGGCTATGTCGCTGGACTCCCTCGTAGTCAACCGCGGTTCGCGTCCCGGACCCGGTGGCTTGAAACTCACGCTGGGCGCGTGTGCGTGCGTGCCCAAGATCCTGAGAGGAGAATGGAGGAGAAGGGATTGCGGTGTGACCATCCACCCTGGGGGGTGATTTCTCGCTTTCTGTCTCTATGTCTCTCTCTGTCTGTCTGGCGAGCGCACGCGCCCTACAGTGAAAATCTCTCAAAAAAAAAAAAAAAAGAAAAAATTAAAAATAGATGCTCAAATAACATACTGATAAACTCCTAATGATCTCTTCCAGTAGAGTAGACATCATTCAAGAAAGATGGTTTGATTTTCCCATTGATTCTGAACTCTAAAAAACATCATAAATGGCTAATAATTAATACAGAAGTCCAAAACACTGCATTTCCTACCTTATTCTAGTAAAGATAATAGAGCAAACCATTAAATTTTTTTGTTAAAAAAATATTAGTGAACAGCAAAATAACAAATGGGATAATAGTTAAAAGTAAGAATGAACGACCCAAAAATTAATCCTTAAATAATCAAATACTATATATACCACTAATTTGAGTTTATCATTTTTCTCTGAGAGAGATAGCAAAATCTTTATTTAGATATAACTGTTAACATGGTCTTCCCTCATTGCCCTAAATCACTGTCCCAGAATTATTCTTCTACAAGATCACTAAGAGTTAATCCAGCTGTATTCTTACTATAACCTAAAGAATTGTGTAAACAGTATTCTGGAATTCTAGAGCTTGTCATCAAATGTAGAATAGGCTTTCACATCCTAAAATCCTAATTTATTTAAAAAAAAAAAAAAACTATTTGGGGTCAGCTCTATGGACTGGTGTTTACATGAATGAGATCCTACACGGACAACTATGTGATTTAAGTCCCAATCCTGGGTCTTGATAAACACATGTGCATGTGTACCCAAAATCCTGAAATGAGGGAGAGATGGAAAAGGTATTTTTGGTGGTACCCAGTAACCATTCCCTCATAGAGGGTGCTTTTTCTTTCCCTCTGGCAACACACATGCCCTCTAGCAAAAAAAAAAAAAAAAAAAAAAAAAAAAAAAAAAAAAAAAAAAAAAAAAAAAAGATAAGAAAGAAAGAAAGAAAGAAAGAAAGAAAGAAAGAAAGAGGCTTAACAAGAAAGGAAGGAAGGACAGATGGACGAACAGAGAAGACAGAAAGAAAGAAAACAAAGTATTTTTTATTTTTTAAGGATTATTTTAACTTTATTGACTTTTGATTTATTTTAATTTTTTTTGAGAGGTTTTTGCTACAGGGCGCATGCACTCGCCAGAAAGACAGAGACGAGAGACAAACAGAAAGTGAGAAATCACTCCCCAGGGGGGATGGCCACACTGCAATCTCTTCTCCTCCATTCTCTCGGGATCTTCGGCATGCACACACATGAGTTTAAGGGCATGCAGCGCCTAGCATGAGTTTAAGCCACTGGGTCTGGGACTGAAACCACGGTTGACCTACATGGGAGTCCTGCGACACAGACATTACGCCAACTGCTGGTCCCAATTTATTTAATTTGTCCACAGAGGGAGAAAGGGGGAGGAGTGAGGGAGAGGAAGAAAGAGAGAGAGAGAAAGCCACCAGGTCCATGACTCAAACCATTGTAGGCCATGTGGGGTCCAGCACCCTTAACCACCATGCCAACAGCCAGCCCCAATTTTTTTGGGGGGAGGGAAGTTGCCATAGGGCATGTGCACTTGTCTGAGACAGACAAAGGAAAAGTCAGAGAGCACCTCCCAGAGGGGTATAGCCAAGCAGCAACCCCTTTCCCTCCATTCTTCACTATGGGATTTGGGGCATGCATGCACATACACCCAGTGTGCTTTTTCAAGCCACAGGTTGTGGGACTCGAATAGCAGTTGGCCATATGGTTAAGGTGGTTGGATTCCCACATAGCTGACCATGGATCAAGTCCCAGAACTGGCAGCTTGAAACACACCAGGCATGTGTGTGTGCATGCCCAAAATACCAAAAGAAGAGATTGTGGCATGGCCATCTTCCCTGGGGGGTGATTTCTCACTTTCTCGCCCGCTGTTTCTCTAGCAAGTGCGTCCACCCTACAGCAATATATATATATATATATAGATATCTTATGGACTGGCAGGTGGCATGGTAGTTAAGGGC